CCCCGATGTCAGATCCAGGTGGCTTGGCTTGAGGAAGGCAGCTTTTATCAGCCACAACAGGTACCAAAGCTGGAGTTTGGGGTGTTGTGGGTACAAGTATAAGAGGCAAACCTTCACTCAGGGCTTACAATGAGGAACTAAGGTGACTCAAGCAGCATCACTCACCCAATATTCCCCTCCCAGTATTCTTAATATACTTTCACAAGAATGCATTCTCTCTGTTGATCTTAGTGAAAGGTTCATCTCCAGTTTAGATTTCATAATGCTCATTTTCTCCGAGATTTCCATTAAGTTCTCTGCAGTAGATGCACTGATATCCCAGGTCTGCCACTTAACAGCCACGTGATCTTGCACAAGTTACTTATCTTCTCTGTGCCTCGGTTTCCTCATATGGTAAATATAGGTAGTGACAGTACCTACTGGACAGGGTTATTGTGAGATTAAATGGGATCACACACATGGAAAACTCTTGGAACACCACTTAGAATGTAGAAAGGGCTCAACAAATGCTAACTATTATCATTATCATTATTTCCCACTTCTTGAAGCTTGAGAAGTTAAATCCAAGATACATTTTTTAAAATAGGTTCACACTTTCTTTGCTGGTTTCCCCCCATTTCACCGAAACAGAAAGTCCTTTAGTTATAGCTTTCTAGTGAGATGTGTTCTAGAAACTGAAGAATTCGAGCTTAAAGCAGGTATGAAAAGCCACAATGCCGGATTTGAGTTCTCACAAGACCTTCTGAAAAGGCCTATCCTTCTGAGCTGGGAAGGTGACACGCTTTTCCGGTCTCCTGAACTGTTTTTCTCTGATCAGGAACAGCACACACACGGAAAGACCAGTCCGTCCTTCATCTTTCCTTGTTTCCAACACTCAGTCCCTGATGGCAATACACCTTGCTGAGCCCAGAATCAGGCGTTCTCCAGAAGTACTCAATTTTGATGGTTCCGGCATCACAAAGTCCATCCTCTGACTCCAGGGAGGCAGTACTCAGGGTTGCAAAGCTTCGAGAAGCTTTCTATCTTTGGAGTCTGTTTTCAGATAGAAGAGCTCTCCACTGGCCTGGGGGGTAGGGGGGCGGGGGGCAGTCATTTTGAGGTTCTCCACCTATCTTAGAGAAGGGAAGAAAAGAGAAAGACGACATATTTATTGAGGGTTCACTCTGTGCCAGGCCCTGGGCTTTAGGTGTTATCTTATTTAAACCACCCAGAGTCCTGCCAGATGGGTCAGGTGAGGCCTAGAGAGCTGCAGTAACTTGACCAAAAGACCACAACAAACAAGGGGCAAAGGCGCGGTTCACAGCCAAGCCTAGACTCCCCTCTTCCCACCGGACACTCTTGCTTCAGATACTGAGATTTCTTTCCTCCTTTCTCTCCTCTTTGCTGTCTGATTTGAGGTCACAGCCTGTCCTCACCCCAGGAAGTGAAACAAAACCATTGCTGACAGGCATGGATCCAAAAGGCCCAGCCAACTTTGGAAAACACCAGTGGGGCTGCCATCAGCCCTGTGATAAGAGGCTGTGGTGTTGTTGGGAGTCACTCTGAAGGAAGGAGACAGAACTATCTCTTGTTTTTGCTTTAACCTGCCAAAGTCGACACAGTTTTCAGGGCTGGGTGCCAAGTTGTGGGCACCCGAGTAGCCAGAGATCCTGGCACATATCTGGCACCTGCAGTAGACAGCTGTTTAAAGAATCTTCCTGCCAGAGGGAGTTGGGGTGGTGGGGAGGACACCAGAGGAGGAAGGGGACTCTGCAGCTACAAGGATGGGGGTGGTGCACAAAGTGGGACCCAGGAAGTGGCCCTTATCTTCATGAGTGCCCAAGGGCAAGGTCAGAGGGAAAAATGCATTGAGTGGGAAGAGAAGGGGATGAAAACTTCTCGGCCATCTCCCCTTTCTCCTCTGCTCTTATTTATTTTCTAGCTTCCCAGCTCTAACACTCACCCTGTATCCCATTCTCAACCTCCCCCTCCCCCCCATGCTAGTTGAAGACCCAGAGGAGGTTGCTGGGAAAACAGATTGTAAGCTTGGAGCTGCTGATAGCCAAGAGACAGGAAGAGCCTGCCTGCTGTGGCATCAGCTCAGAGCACAAACAGTGACAATGTCGTTTGAGCCCTTCGATCCAGCCATGCCTGAAACCCCTGCGCTTTTAAATTAAGAGGCCAAACACTTTGCATTTTGGCTTAAGACATGTTCAACTGAGCATCTGTCGCTTATAATAAAAACAACACAAATAAAATCCTAACTGAAACAGCATCAGCTTGTCTAGTATAATTTTCATGGATAGATCCTTTATAATAGCCAAGGAAGGAAGTAGAGAACTTTAGAACAAAGCCACTTGACATGCAAACTCAGAATCTAGAGCAGTGGTTCTCAACCTTCCTAATGCCGCGACCCTTTAATACAATTCCTCATGTTGTGGTGACCCCCAATTTCATTGTTACAAATCGAACATAATTAAAGCATAGTGATTAATCACAAAAACAATATGTAATTATATATGTGTTTTCCGATGGTCTTAGGCAACCCCTGTGAAAGGGTCGTTTGACCCACAAAGGGGTTGTGACCCACAGGTTGAGAACCGCTGATCTAGAGGCACTGGGCATGAGCAGAGTTGGCCAGCCCCTGCCTCAGGAGGCTTTGGCTCCAAGGGGCAAGCTTAGGGCGGTGGGGGTGGTAAGATGCTCAGGCTTGACTTACATTGCCTGCAGCTCTGTAGGGAGGCTTGGAGGAGGCATAGAGCAGAGCCCATTCTGAGACTTGGCAACCTACAGGTTTTCCCAAAGTGCCCCAAGTAATGGTGGTACCTACCTTCTGCAGAGCCCTTCCTATGTGCCATGATGTGCTATGTGCATTCTTTCATTCAATCAATCCTCACAGCAGTCCTGAGAGGTAGATATGTTCCTGGCATCATTTTTTAGATGAGGAATCGAAACTCACAGTGATAAGGTAACTTACCAGTCATATAGCTAGTGGCAGAACAGAGATTGAAACCTAATGTATCAGAGTCCAAAACCTGTGGTTTTAACAACAATATTATACTTCTTCCAAGATGAGCCAATGGGGGTGGGGGAGCTTGGCTATATGGAGAATTAAGAATGATCTTTTCTGTTGGTACAGCCCTCTAGAGTTTACAAAGCCCAAGTTCATATGCAATCTCACTGTACCCATTTTGCAGATATGGAAACTCAGGCTTAGAGGTAGGAAGAGACTTGCTCAAAGTAATTTGGGAAAACTATATAAGCTGCCCAGAGGTGGTGCTCCTCAAACGGAGCAGCCAATCTAGAGTCTGCAAAAAATCATAGTGCGCATGGGCGGGGCCGGGGGCGGGTTGGCCTCGCCACACTGACCCATGCTGATGGGCCGCAATGGTCTGTCTGGCTAAGGACGATCTCTGACAGACGGAGGGACCAACTGGTGTTGTGGCCACAGATCCCATTGCAGGACACATCCCAAGACGGCAAAGAGCTCTGCATTCACAGATTCCCAGCTCCAGCCAAGGTCCTATTTCTTTTTCAGCAACACTTGATATAGACAAATTCCAGTTCAACCAGAGAGATTCAGCTTCCTGGTGTTCCCACGGGGGCTAGCAATGAAAGCTTCCCCTTTCTTCCACTGGGCCATCCTCAGCAAAAAAGGCTGCAAGACTGAGCGGAGCTACCTGAGGAGTGGGGAGCTGGAATGTGCCTGCCTGGCTTCCTCCCAGAGGAGAGTAGCTGTCCCAGCTGGAGCCCCAGGGCCCTCCCTGTTGGGCCTGTCCTGATGCTTTGCGGAGCTCAGAGGCACTTGTCCTACGGAGACAAGGCGAGGCTGTCTTTCACTGTTCCCTGGGTGACTCTCGCCTGGAGGAGTGACCAGGCAGGGATCCAGGCGACAGAACAGAAGGGGCCAGGACAGTCGCTGTTGTTCCCTGCTGGAAGCATGCCAGGGGGCTGGAAGGTGAGCTGCCATCCCAACCCCCTCCTCGACTTCCCGTCCAGGAGATACGGCTGTCCCTGCAGTATTGGGGGGCAGGGCAGGGGATCCTTGAAGCCAGGTGAGCAGTCTTCTGGATTTATTTTCCCACAAGCAATCTGTGAGCTCTGAATCTAGGGCAAGTGTGGAAGGTAGGAACGGAGGGTAAGAGCAGGTTCATGACATCAGACCCAGCCCTTCCAGGTCTGGGAGGTCCAGCACAGGTTCCAGGGGAACAGACAGTCGGTCCTCCTTAAAAGCCCAGCTCTACCACTTGCTTTCCTGGGCAAGACCTGAACTTCTTGCCATGCTTATGCTCAGTATTTATTGAGAGCCTCCGAAACGCTTTGGATTCAATGGTAAGAAGAAGAAAAAAATGATTCAATCAGACAACCAATAACAGCTTCCCTCCACCACCATCACCAAAAAAGCGTGAAATGTTCAGAGAGATGCATAGTATATGATTAGGGAGAATTCACCCTCTGGAAGGTTAGAGAATACTTTTCCTAAATAAATGGTAATGGAGCTGAGGTCTGGGAGGAACAATAATGAAGCCAAGGGCTGTCTGTTTACTCAGCAGAGTAGGAGGGGCATTCCATGCAGAGGGAACAGGATATTCAAAAGTGGACTATTTGGCAAAAGGGAGAACGACTCCTCGAAGGAACTGGAAGAAGGCTCCTGAGGCTGAAGTGCAGCGTGGAGAAGCAGGTGGGAGCAGACCAGGCAAGAATGTGGGTCTTTATCTTAAGAGGAACAGGAAGCCTTTTGAGGTCATCTAAGCAGGGAGGTGAGATGATCACAGTTGTAGTTTGAAAAGATTACCCTGGCAGTGGAAAGCAAGGAATTGGAAGGTGACCAAGGCACAAAATTCAGGAGACCAGTTAAGAGGTCTCAGGTTAAAAAAAAGAAAAAAAAGGTCTCAGGTATTTGCCTGCAAAATGGGGATAATGATCATACTACCACATAAGCTGTTGCCAAGATTCAGTGAGCTACTACATTTTAAATATTTATTTCAATACCTGGCACATGGCAAAACACTCAGTAAATGTCGTTATTGTCACTTTTATTGTCAGTTTCTCCAGCGAGCAGGTCTTTCTGCTTCACGGCTGCTCCAGTGAGATGGGCTGGGGGAGGGTAGCGGCTGTTCCTAGCGTGGAAATGTAGTTTGCATGAAGTCAGGATGCCCGAAGGCCGCATTAGATGGCTTGAGAGATGATTCACGAACAACAACAAACAAACGGGTTCCAATTGCTACTGGAAACATGCTGGAGGGAGGTAAGCCCTAGCGCTGGCCGAGCAAACGTGCTCTTCTGCCAGGTGATCCAGAGAGCAGGTGGAGGGCTCGCGCTAGCGTGCAGTCGCGCGGAGGCTGGGACCCTCGCCTCTCCTCACCCCAGGCTCCCGCCCCGCCCTGCTTCCCCGGCAGAGGGTGCCAGCAGGAGGGAGGGTCCCCGGAAGGCCAGCTCCAACCGGCCTGCAGGGGCTGCCCCCTCCCCAGTCACGTGGCTTGGTGGGTGGGGACCGACCTGAAGTTAGAGAAATCCTGAGCGATCCCTGCTTCTGGGTGCGCCGCGCGCGCGTCCTCCCGAGCCCGGGCTGT